GAACTGATTTTGAATGCTTCTCTGGATCACTGTAAACCATAACTCTTAGCAGACTTTGCTCTCCCTCTCTGGATCCTGAGAGGTTGCCAGCTGCAGGAGCAGAAGAACTGAGTCAGAGTGGGGAGTGGGCTTCTCACAGTGTTAATTTTGACACTTTCTTTCCTTGTTACCTGCTCCAGTACCAGCTGCTTGGAGTGTCTGAGAATAAAATTAAATACAACAACCATAAACTCAGTCCCTTCTTAGTCATGCCTCCTGCAGTAAAGGAGAAATTTAATAAAAGCATATGTCATTTAGCCAAAAAAAAAAAAAAGGTAGCTTGACTTTTAGGCAAGAAGCCAAGGTTTTATAGAATAAATTTACTATATGTACCCTGAAGTTTAGAACAGCAATGCCAAGCATCCCTCTGCTATCTCTAAGGCTTGGAGCCTGGGCTGGGAGGTGACGAGAAGCCTGATTTTCTGTGATGTGTACAGTCCTCATTTAAGGAAAAAGTAATTTAATACTTCGTCTGCCTTATCCTCCTGTGCAACTTCATTTCTCATTCTGCTCTGTAATGTTCTTTCTCCTTGGCTGATCGCTTACTTTTATACTTCAGACATGAAAATGAAGTTCTTTGGTATTCTAGAAAGGTTTGCTCCAGCCTCTGGTGCCTAACCTTTCTCGTTCACCTTGGTGTGCAGCTTGCCTATCCTCTCTCCCATTTCAGAAATTTTGTCATGCCTGTCACTTTTGGGTGACGTGGACGTTCAACATAGAGAGCAAAGGGTCTCTGGCTGCTGTGGTGCTTCCTTACAGCTGAATTCTGTCTTTCTCAGACACTGGTCTTGGAATCTGTTGGCCTATCTTTAAACCTTCACTGATTTAAAACTTTTTTTCTGTTGCTGTCCGGTCCTTAGCAAATATAGATTATAAAAATCACAATTGTTTTGGTTGGCACTGTGAAGTGCTTGGAGACTCTTGTACAAATGTGGCATTATTGCCAGTGCTGACAGTACTGTCAGGCAGTATCCAGTATCCTGGATGCCAGATTCCTGATGCCTCAAATATTTTTCCTTTGGGAGTAAGGAAACAGTGAATTCTCCATCATGGACAGACACAGCAGAGGAAGTCTTTCAGTAGCCACCTGAATATGAGATTTATCAGAGGAGTTATAACAGAGTAAGAGGAAGTGATCTGCTCTGTGGTTGCAGATGGGACAGAGGATAGGAGGCCAGCAAGAGAGGCCCTCAAGAGGTTCCCAAGAATTAGGAGGAAGTATTCCTGGAACTTGCTGAGGGTGTTGGAGAAAACTGCCTGTAAAATGGAGAGTGGCTTAAATGCAGCAGGATGAGGACTTTAGTACAAAGGAGAAACGCGAGCTAAGTTGGGGGAGAAGTACAGAGGGCTTGAGGGCAAAAATATTTCAGGGGGAGAAGAGAAAGTGAAAGCTTGAATCAAAGCAGCTGAAAGGTTGGCTTTAATATCTGCTTAGATCAAAAAATAAAAGTTTGTATGGATTAAGAGATAATCCACTAGATAGATTTAATCTGCCATGTGTATTGCTTCCCCAAAGAAAGCACTGGGAGGGGAAGGTTGATTTGGCTCAATGCCTAGCATTTGAAGGTAAGTGATGTATTCTCCTTTTTTCACAGACCCGCCCCCCCCTTTCACTTGTCCTGAATGAAGCACATCCTGCTGAAAAGGAGGGGCTGTCACTGTAGCCTCCTGTTCCTTTGCAACTCCAATGTCATATTGAATTTAACTAAAGGCGTTTCTCAAGCAGAAAAGAGCACCAAGAGCAAAATAACACAGCAATGACTAAGAAAACAGGCATGGGGTAGGTTCACATGCTCATGGTGGTTTTGTCTGCCTGAGCAATTGGTTCTGAGAGGCAGTATTGGGCCATTTTATTAACACTTCATCCTTCTTGTCCTAATTGTCCTTGTCTTCCCTTTAATGGAAGTTAGGGACTGAATGCCACCTTTCTTCCAGCACTGCCCCTGAAATCCTTGTCCGTATCCCTCCATCCCTTCCTTCCTGTTTCCTTTCTGTACAGAAACTGGTTGAGTCCTTTGAGTAAGTTCAGCTTCCACAGCAGTAGAAATAGTTGATCAAACATGAGGAAGTTTTCTCCATGTATTTTTTCTGGTAAGATATATGGTGTATTATCTCTTCTAACACATGCAGCTGTATCTTGAACTGTTTGTGTTAACAGTCATGCACTTCTAGGAGCCTGTACACGTGATGGAATTTGGATTGGTTGGATTGAGGGGGTTTAATTTTTATTTCAAAGTTATCTTGTTCAAAAACAAATAAATTAATTCTGTAGATTGATATGTATTCCTTCTGTGTTGTGGGCCTGCATCTGTACCACCTCAGGTGAAGGATTTTTGCAGATCTCATAAGGTCAGCGGGATTTGGCCTGTTAAATCCTTAAGCAGGAGATAACAGGAGAATGTTAAGAGTGCCTCTGGGAAGATCCATCAGTTTGAAACACCTGAGCTGGCACTGGGCAACTTCCCCAGCTTGTGCTGGGAGCAGGCTGTCTGCCTGATACAGTCTCCTTTCACTGATGATATTTGGTGGGCAGTGGGGTTGAATGTCTCCCCTCTTTTTTGTTTTCTTTTTCTCTGACAGGGAAGGGAGGGGAAGAGGCTGGTACCTGGTGAAACACTGGGGATAATGTGGGGCAGGAAAGGGAGTGAAGGAGGTGTTTGCCTCACTAGACCCACTCACATTCATGAAGTGAAAGGGACAAGAACACTTACTGGTTTCGAGGCCTGAGCTTGCATAACTATTTGCTTAGCACGTCCTTCTGGGAGAGAAACATGTGCCTGGTCAGATCCTGAAAATTGTGTCTGGAAGTCAGCAGGTACTGGCTAAAAGGCAATTGATACCTTGCTTTTATTTGGAGCTTCAGGAAAGCTTTGTGGAGTTCTCCTAGGAGAGAGGTCTACTCTCAGGTGAGAGGGAAAATTGCATCATTGATTTGAGGAAGAGCAGCAAAGCAGAAATAAATGACAAGGTTTTTTCAGCTTTGAAGGAAGTAAAAATAGTTAGATGCCCCTAGAGAGCAGTACTGGAAATAGTGTCAATCAATACAATTATGAAACCTCTAGAGGAGAGGTGAACTGTGAGGTGGGAAAATTTGCTGGTGAGAACAGTTAGGAAGGATTTAGGTCCTTCAGAGGCATCTCACACTTGAACAAAACAAGGCAATGGGACAGCCCTATGACACATGAAATTTGCTGCCGACAGGTGCTAGGAAATGCTCACTGAAAGGAACAACAGAAACTACTCTGAGAACCTATGAAGTGTAAAAGTGATAACTTACTCCACTGAGGCAAAGGGAGGGAGTCGGAAGGAAATCATGAACAGATTTGTACTCAGTGTTGGTACAAAATACAAGCTGTTAGACTGTGTTTAAAATAAAATGGGCTAAAATAGAGAATAGTTCTGAGAGAGAATCTCATGAGGTTCAATTTTGCTCATCTCCCACTCCAAGTGAATAAGGTAGAAACAGGTTGTGTGCTATCATGCCATATGCATAAGGAAGAATTTTTTCATGCCTCCAGGAAGAGGAGAGCATGGCTATAAACAAACAGAAATACTTGAAGTTTAGAGAAAGTGAGGTTTTTTTCAGAATGGTACAAGGAGAATAGGCTGCTTGTTCTTGCTGTTTTTCACTATCTGCATTGAGAGGGCGCTTTATATTTCTATACTGCAATAGAGAATGTGCTGCCCAAAGTGAAAATACTGGAAAAGATGGATTTGGTACAGTTTGAAATTGGGAATTGTGGATCACTGCTGATCTCAGATTCATTACTAAAGGGAGTTAGACAGAGCAGGAAAAGATCATGAGAGCTTTCTCCTCAAAAGCAAAGAGAGACTCTCAGTGAAATTTAAAGGCAATACTTGAGATTGCTTTTTACCAGCATAGGATGATCCAGTGGAACTGGGGTGAAAGTTCAGAAGATTTTTCAGCTTTTGACCTTGTAGGTGGGGAGAATCTGCTGGTTATACATGGGGAAGGAGACCTCTTTGAGAAGGTGACATCATTAGCTGATGCCTGCTCCCAGCATCTCTCCTAATCTTTGACTGGACCTGTGTGACAGTTCCAGCAGCACGGCAGCCACTCTGCATGTCATGGAGGCATTTTCAGTCCTGCCCCTGGCTGCCAGGTGGGAAAGAAATATGTCCACAATGTGAATGCAGAGGTATTTAGCCAATGACTCCTCTCCACTGCTGCCATGGAGTGCTTTTCATCTCAGTCCCAAAGCATTCTGATACCATAGTGGTATGGTTTATCTGCAGCTGGCAGCTTTAGCACCACACAGCCCCTTGCTCACCCTACTCCCTGCAGGGTGGGGGAAGGAGAACTAAAAGGGCAAAAGTGAGAAAATTAATGGGTTGAGATAAAAACAGTGAAATGATTGAAATATAATAATAATGTAATGGAAAGGAAAATAACAAAAAAGAGAGAGAAATACAACACAAGAAAGACAAGTGATGCAAATAAAAACAATTCCTCACCACCAACTTGCTGAGGCTTGTCCAGCCCACGAGCAGTGGACCCCAGCAGACTTTCTCCCTAGTTTATATGCTGAGCATGATGCCATATGGCGTGGAACATCCCTTGGGTCAGTTGGGATCAGGTGTCCTGGCTGTGTCCCCTCCCAGCTCCTTGTGGTGCAGGGAGAGGCAGAAAAGGCCTTGACTCTGTCTAAGCTCTGCTGAGCAATAATTAAATCATCCCTGTGTTATCAACACTGTGTCTGTTGACAGTTTCCATCTTTCTATGCCCCAAACAGCCACAGGTGCATCATGCTGCGAGTCATGGATTAATCCTCCTTCATGTTGGAGTACCTAAAGCTCTCAACAGGATGCAAGCGTGGCTCAAGCAGCACTGTTTTTCACTGTGAAACAACCTGCTCCCCTGAGATTCACATCCTTCTCCAAGGGGCTGGGAACTGGCTGTTTTGAAAAGAACCAGCTTAAGAAGTGTTCTTGCCTCCTAGGATCTCTCAGCGGGTGGAGGCCAGCCGGGCACAGCTCCAGGCAATTGGGGAGAGAGTCACACTTGCCCAGGCAAAGATTGAGAAGATAAAGGGCAGCAAGAAGGCTATTAAGGTAATGACTTCAATGAAGGCTGCATGGCTTCTTTTCTTCCTTATTTCTTTACTCCTGAGGTAAGCTCTGGAGAAGAAAAGGTGCTCAACTGCTACAGCTGCTGCCCACTCACCTCTCCATGCCTTAATGCTGAGCAGGATTATGGTGAGAATCCCATTCCTGACTTGGCCAATGGATGAATTTTAGACCCATAAGCCACACAGCTCCAGGCTTTGTGTAGCCTTTATATATTTCTGTCTCAGCTGCTTCCTGAGAAAGAGAAAAGGCATGTGCTGAGCTAAGCTTAACTAACACCTTCACTTCAGGCTCAGAGACACTTATTTGAATGAAAACTGCTTTCAGAGAGACTCCCTCTAGTGCATCTTAATCCCATTGAGCCATGTAAAACTGGTGAAAATCCTTCTTTCCCCATTCTTGCTCTATTTTATACAGTATTTCCAACTCCTTTCTTGCCAGTGGAAGCCTTTTGCTAGTGATCTCCTAGTCCTTTTAGAGAGAGAGAAAAGCTGTGGCAATTCCAGTTTCAGAAGTGGCAGCCCATGCGTATTTGGGTCTGTGCACATAGCCCTTAGGAGCCTGTTGACTCCAAGGCTGCCCATTCCCACTGGCAGCAGAGGTTGCATGTTTACTCCTCTCCATGTGTTTCTGCATCATAGATTTCCCTAGTTGTTGGGATTTTTTAGTCCCTCCTTGTTTCTCCATAGGTATTTTCCAGTGCCAAGTATCCAGCCCCTGAACGGCTGCAGGAGTACAGTTCCATTTTTGCCGGTGCAGAAGACCCAGCTAAGCAGAAATGGCCAAGACATAAGATTCAGAGCAAACACCAAATGCTGGATGAAAAAACTCTGCAGGTAAGGAGGAGAACAGACCTTGGGAAGGACAAGCAAAGAGAACCTGGAGGTTGTTAATCTCTTTGATAAAGTGGGCCAGGGCTTTGGGACATAGGCTAGGAGTAGAACATATTTTCATTTGGCCTGTCAGTGGGGAGGGTATGAGGTCAGACTGGGAAGCTTATGGAGATGCCAATTGGAGAGGGCCATGTTGGTACAAGAGCTTGTCTGGGTGGCTTCAATTGCCAAGTCTCTGGAGCAGTTCAGTTTCCTGAAATGCTGCTGTTTCCTGCAGCAGTGTGGGTGAGTGCTGCTGTCTGCGCTTAAGGCTTTGGCTGTGCATAGTGAGGCAGCTGGAATCAAGCTCATAGTTGTTTCAGAAATAGTTTCTGAGGGCTCTCATATAACATGAGGTGAGAAGGGGAAGGTAAGAAGGCTTGTGAGTGTGTCAGGAGAAAAAGGAGTCATTAATTAAAGCATTTTTCTGCCCCAGAAAATAGTTGCACTTGGGCATTGTCCCTGGGTTGGAAGGACAGGAGGAAGTTGCCGTGCTTAAAGTTTAAAAGTTGCTGTGTATGTGCTGTGTCAGGAGTAGCAGATGTGCTGTTCCTAGCAGGTTAAGGATCAGTTTGACAACTTCCCTGCTCTCCACCCCTAAAGAGACTTCCTTCCTCATCCTTGTGTGACTTGGCCAAAAATAAAGCTTCCACTGAATAATTTATCAGGCTAAACTTCCCTGAGTGTTAATGGAGTTGAGACTTCACACAGAGAGGTAGTTATGAATATTTCAGGCAGGCCAGGGAAGCAGGATTGCTGGCCAAATGGAGAGCTGACAAACTTGAGTAGGGTTCCTGCTTCATTCCAGTCCTGGCAGTTGCACAGGTAGAGCTGCATGGGACGTGCTGGTGTCTGGCAGGGAGGCCAGTGAGCGCTGCTGCCTGGCTGGTGGCTTCATCCCGTTGGAGTGCAGGGGGAGCAGAGGTAGGCAGGGAGCAGACAGGGAGATGACTTCCCACCCTGAAGGGCTGGTGCCGAAGTACAGCCCCTTGCACAGGGAAGGGATTGAGAAGGACATCAGCTGCTAAAAAGCAGTATCCCACAAAGAGCAAATGGTGTGTCTGTTCATCTGGCCTGCTGGCTCCAGTAGGCTCCATGTGCCATTTGCCACAGCCATTTGCCTGGAATGCTGTCTCTTCCAGTCCCAGTCAGTCTCTATACCGTTGCCATGTTCTGCCCTTTGTGACTAAAGCTGCCATCACCACAGGGGCTTTGTTTCAGCCTCTGGGGGATGTTTGTTGCTCCCCTCCTGCAATCCATCTTTTGATCCTCTTTTGTGACTGTTGATCTCTTTCTGGCTTTGCCGAGTCTGTCTCATGCAGCTGTTGTCACTCTTGCCAAGCTCACACATGAGCTCCTGCAGCTCCTCTCTGTGGTGGGGGGATGCTGCTGTCAGCTGGTGAAGGATGGAGGGGTTGATGTGCTGAATGGGGCTCAGTGTGGCCAAGCTCTGACCACATTCCAGGGGGACAGGCCCTTCTCGGCTGTAGCTGAGCACAGAGCTGGACATGCCTTGCAGTGACAGGGAGAAGTCTAATGCTTGCATTCATGCTTTCCTCAATTATTCAGGGTTTTCAGCAGAGGTTCACTGCCTGTTTTCACTTTTAATGAGAGCCTGTTTGCTGCGAGCAGTCGCAGTGGCCTTTGCTAAACTCCACTTACACATGGGCACGCAACATCTCATCAGGAAAGCAAACTCTGCTAATGTCAGTTTGAGGGGAAGTGGTGCCAGCCTGTGCTCAGCCTTTAGGGATTTTGCTCTGGGGGGTAAGCAACTGAGCTGGAAATGTGTCTGGTTCTGCAGTTGATTTTAAATGCTTTCCCCTTGGAATTTCTTCTTGCCCCCTCAACCCCAAGCAAGGGAAAACTCAGCTGTTTAGAGGATGCTATTTAGGTTGGTAAGGTAAGCACTGATGGGTGAGAGTGCCACAAACACAGTGCTTGTGGCTAGCCTGGAAAGCCTTTTGCTTTGCACAGTGCAGTGGTAGCAGCAGGGCAGGGCTCAGAGGGGGCTGGCTGCAGCTCTGTGGGGCTTCCCAGGCACTGGGCACTGCCTTTGTGGTGGGAGCTGTGTCTGGGTGCTACACATGCCTCTCAGGAGACTGGCAGACAGGCTAGGAGATGTGGCCTGCCTGAGCTTTGGAAGAAGTCCAAGCAAAAGTTACCATCCACTGCTGGAGTAACCTTGCTAGGCTTCAAAAGTGTCAGTAACTTGGCATGTCCTTGTGAATTCTGCCTCTCCCAGAGCCTACCATAGGCATGTGGAGGCTAAACCAGGTTTTTGTCACTTGCTTATCTTGAAATACTTTCAGAGCTGGCATCAGCACTCCATTAGTGTGGGGGGAAGTACTCCAACATGTAATAGTACAATTCCATTTGTAATAGTGTGTGTTTAATTAAACTGAAGAACCAGAGTGACTTATATATTTTTAACTGTAGGTTCTTTGGAAGAAAAATGCCTGAAAATGCAGTGTCCTTGGGGGGTGTTATCCTGCCAGGTGCCAGACCCCAGGTTGGGGTGTTTGAGCATTCAAGCAACTCCTATGACTTCAGTATGTCAAGGTTGCCAAACTTTCGCTTAAGAACTTAATGCTCCTATAAGAAAACTAATTTTTAAATGTCACCTTAACTTGTGGAATTCACAGTTGCAGGATATTTTTGACAGTGTGTGGAAGTTCCAAATTTCAGAACATTTCTAGGTACTTGAGTAAGACTAGCACTTTGATGGCATTTAAATTAAAAGGATTATATTTCACGTTTCAGAATACTCATGCTTAGTGCTTTTATAACTTCCTTAGATGAGGTTTATAAGTAAATGTAGGTAATGGTTGTTTTCTCACTACATCCTTACAGTGATGCACAATCTTCTAGTGCTCCCTGAAATATACAAAGAGAGAATTAAAAAAAAATATAAATAACTTGAGGGCTAAGTGTATCTGAACAGTTCTAGCAAAAAAAGTCAGTACTCCCTCATGCTTAAAAAATTAATGGGCCATGAATATTAATGATCAAAAGAACTTTTATTTTTGAGTCTCTACTTCTAAAATCTCTAAATAAGAATTTATATATTTTTGCCTATTTGCTTCCATTAAAAAATAGAAGGTGTTAACTTCAATGTATTTTTCACAAGTTGGAACATGAATTAAATCAAAACTTTACAGGTTCTTTCTTATAGCATTTTATAGTCTCAGAGCATCATATAAATTCTTAGTGGATTAACTGAACTGTGACTAAGCCATTTCTTTGGATTTCTGGCTACCAGATTCAAGACTGAAATTTCAATCAGCAGGAACTGCTTGTGTTCCTGAGATATGGTCTTAAAACTGAACCACCAGTGGTCTCCATTTCTCTTATACAAGTACAAGGAGGGAAGAGGGACTCAGAGAATGGGGTGGTGCAGGGTAGTGAGGCAGTAGGAAGCTGTGGACAGTATTTGGAGGGGTCATCCTCTGGTGGCAGAAGAAAACTACAGGCATGATGAGTTACTTAACCTGACAAAGTGCTCTGGCTTCTCCTGGTATGAACACTTACTGCCTTGTAGCTTGCCTTATTTGTGAAGAAAGAACTGTGAAGGGGCTGAGGAGGGGTCTGCAGAGGGGTCTGAGGTGGCGGTCTGTTCATCCCAAACTGTCTATGTTCAGGAACTGATGCCTTTCCTCCCTCTAGAGCAGAGTGCTGTGGGCGCTGAGCTTCAAACCCCAGAGCATGTGGCAATGGGCACTGTCACACCAGCTGAAACACTGGTCTGATGTGGGATGGCAGCTCCTGTGCTTTATAAAAGTCAGGCAGTTCAGATGTAATAAGTCCTTTTCGAAAGGGAGCTCTATATATTATGCATGAAGTTTTAGAACTGAGAGAGAGAAGATTTCAGTTCATTAGAGTTGAAAACTCCTGCAAATCCCTCAGGCTTTGCAAAACCATCTGGCACACATTCCACCCTGTGCACTCCTTTCTGCATGATCTCTTGCCTAGTGCAAGCACTCTATTCTTTCCTAACCTCTTTTCCCTTTGCCTTCCCTGCCTACCCCACTAGTGCAGTCACAGCTCTTAAAACATCAAGTGAAGGCAACAGAGGGGAGGTAATAGAGATATGTGGGGAACTCTGCCTGCATGAAAATGTGTTGTAATTGGAGACACTGTTAATAAAAGCCTTTTAGGCTGTAGTGCTTGACCCCTGCCTCTGACTACAGAGCCAGAGTGGTGGTTTTATTCTGGTAGATACTTGCCAGAGTAACACATGTTCAGTATGACCCATCCACGGCACCAAAGCCACTTGCCACCTGATTGTGGGGTTGTCATGACTGTGGGGTTGCAATGTTGTCCACCTACTTCCTAGCTCAAAGGGAGATAGGGAGGGAGCAGCAGGTTTCCCAGATCATACAGTGCATCCAGCAGTGTGGGTTGTGGTGGCTGGGGAGAGCTGCCCTCAGCAACCATGGTTCTAGTGTCTTACCACCTTTTATCTGTCTTCTTGCAGGAAAAGCTCAAGTATTTCCCTGTGTGCGTGAGCACCAAAATTCACCAGGAGGATGATGCAGAAGAAGGCCTTGGCAGCCTTCCCAGGAACATCAGCTCCCTCAGCTCCCTGCTACTCTTCAATACCACCGAGAACCTGTGAGAGCTGGAGCAGTGCTGTGCTGCTCACCTGCCCCTGCTCATCCTCAGAGCAGCTTTCCCTTCCTCAGGCGTAGCAGTGACTTTTTGCTTTCCTGGGGGTGTTACCTATCAGGCTTTTGATAGGACAGGGTTTGCTACCTCTCTGCTGTTTCCAGCTGGGAACCTTCCCTGCTTTTTGCCTTGGGTGGAAGCAGTTATTTTGTCCACACCCGATCCTCTACTCACCTGATTCAACCCAATTTTGCACTTTGTTTTGCTTAGTTCTTCCTATTGGTCATCTGATTTCTTTCCAGCCTTGAGATACGCAGTCACTCCTGCCCTTCTCTGCCCTGTCTGCCAGCTTAGGTACTGCTTCTTCTGACAATTCCCGACGACATTACTTTGCTGCTTTTGCTGCTTTAATGTCTCCACCACCTCCTTCACTGCAGTTTCCTTTCCCACTGGGCTTGTGTCATGGTCATTGTCTCTCTGCTCTTATTGAAAAGCTGCTTTAAGCTCTTATTGAGCTTTCAGCTCCTGGACCTTGTCTTTCTTCTGAGCCATGGATCATTTCTCCTTTTTATCTGTCTTCCTGGACCTTGAGTGACAAGTCACTGGTGCCCTGCTGCAGACTGTAGGATGGTTTCAGGCCAGGTGGTGGAAAGGGGGAGAGCTTGGTCATGGTGGCACTACAGTGGGGCTTTGCTTTAGAATTAGTCTGGAGGCTGCACTAGCAAGGTGGGGAGCTGCTTGCCTCCTGGTTGTGGTGGGGAAAAGCAGAAAAATGGAGCTAAAAGAAGGAACCTGGAAGGCCCAACATGTTCCATCTTCATGAGTGAAGTCAGGTCTCTGCCTCCAAGACCCTCTTGTGTACACTGTTTCTTCTGACCTTGGCTCTCAAGATAGCATCACTAAAATGCTTGTTTTCTGCCCTTAGATACAAGAAGTATGTGTTCCTGGATCCTCTGGCTGGAGCAGTGACAAAGACCCATGTGGCTCTAGAAACAGAGACAGAAGAGAAGCTCTTTGATGCACCTCTCTCCATCACCAAAAGGGGACAGCTAGACCGCCAGGTGAGAATGCAGCTGCTTACATTTCAGAGGGTTGTGCTCAGCTCTCTGAAAAGAGAATGTCTTTGATTGGGTGGTGAGCAGGTAGGACAATAACCAGGGCTGCAGAGTACCTCATATATCAGAAGGACCTTGCCTGGTTTTGTGCTTGAGGTCCTGGTGTAAGGTTGATGAGTGAGACAGAAGCCTCACACTTGGCAGGCATTTCTCTCTGCTCAAGCCTTTGGTGAGTGTTGAAAGGAGAGTAATGGGATATCGACTCACCTTGCTTCTTGACCTCAGGGCTGTAGGGAGGTTTGGAGGAACTATCACTTTGTGCCAGCTCCTGAGCCTCTGAGGGTGAGGTGCCACTGCTAGAAGGTCCTTGGGCAGAAGTGTGATCCCCGTAATTCCTGCTGGGAAGGGGTGCCTGCTGGTGCAAACAGAAGGGCCAGCCAGACTGAGCAAAGGGCTGTGCTTGGTGTACACATGGGGTAGGCAGTGCACCAACCCAGTTCCCCAACATGTGTCTGGTACCTGACACCTTATAAAGGCTGTAACTGGGCTGTACCAGTTTTGCTGGAGTGTCATTTGGGAATGGGAAAAAGAGCCTGGGAATAATTTGCTCATCGTGTTGGACTGGAGGATATAATGTATATAGTGAACAAACTCTTTATTCGCAGTTCAACATCACTACTGTTGCCTGTGTGTTAAACACAAAAGCAAACCCCTGTAACTACTGGGTTGTGCTGCTGCATTTTAATCTTTGAAATGGTTCAGACACTATCCTCTTCTGGAGGAGAAGGGACTGGTTTATTTAGGCTGCAGCAGTTAGTGCATGAACCCTTCAGAGTTCACTTGCTACTATGAAACTAAGAAGAGTCCTGCACTACCTTTCCCAAGCCTGGCCTGCAGGAGGTAGCTTCTAAGCACAGAGGTGTAGGGGTAGCTGATGTACCAAGGTACACCAGCCCAGCTCTGACTGCTGCCCAGATTGTTCCCTGCAGTGGCCCTATTTGCAGCAAGCACAGTCACTGCCTTACCTTGTTGGTTTGGGTTTCTTTAGGTCGCTGAAAATTACTTCTATGTGCCAGATCTGGGCCAGGTCCCTGAAATTGATGTGCCCTCCTACCTGCCAGACCTGCCTGGTATTGCTGCAGATCTCATGTACAGTGCTGACCTGGGCCCTGGCATTGCACCCTCTGCCCCCAGCAGTGCTGCTATTCCAGAGCTGCCCACTTTCAACACTGAGTCGGTGGAGCCTTTGCAACCAGGTATTTTCAATCTCTGATCCCAGGACCCTATGAAGGAAGAAGGCAGGGATTGCTAGAAAGTGGAGATGAGGCAGAAAGAAAATTTTGGTAGAAATTTTAAGGTGGATGTTGGATGGATGATGGATGTTGTACCTCTGGCTTAGGCCTGAGGGAGAGCTGCAAGCTGCTCAAGTTCTGGCCTGACTGCAGCCCCTTTACCTCCCTCCCCCTCTCTCTGCATAGCTAGGGAGGAGGGAGCACAGTGTGCAAGGACTGGGTGTGTGTCAGCCTGGTGGGATGCCCTTGTGCAAGTGGGATGCAGCTGGGGAGGGAGAGTAGGGGAATCTCTTGCCTTGGCCCTGCCTGCTGTTAAGAGTTGGTGTGCAGGGCAGGAGTGCTCTACTGCAGGTGCTGAGGACTCTGTTGCTGCTGAGGCATGTGAAGTTCTGAGCTGAAACTCTCCATGTGCCATCCCCTGGGACTCTTCAGATACAACTTCTTTCATATTTCAGATCTTCAAGATGCTAAGCTACTGCCACCTCCTCCCCCTCCACCTCCCCCACCGCCTCCTGTTACGCCAACTCCGGTGCCTCCTCCACCGCCCTTGCCCCAGCCCACAGCACCCTTGGAACTGGCTCAGTCAGCAAGCAAGGAGAGCAGCAACACAGTGCCTGCAGGTAAGGGCTGGACTCCTCCACAGCTGCACCAGCCTCCTGGACTTCAGCCTGTGTCCTTGGGGGCCTTCCAGCAAGGGAGGTGGTGCAGTGGAATGAGATGCTGTCAAGGTATTGGAGTAGCCCTTGCCATGGGAATTTGGCTGGGCCTGTAGCTGATGCACTGATCCATGTCTGCTGCCTGTCCTTCCCGTCCCTGCAGCTTCAGTCCAAGGAGCCCCAAAGGAGGTGGTAAACCCCTCCACTGGGCGTGCCAGCCTCTTGGAGTCCATCCGCCAGGCCGGGGGCATTGGGAAGGCCAACCTTCGCAGTGTCAAGGAGAGGAAGCTGGAGAAAAAGAAGCAGAAGGAACAAGAACAAGGTGCTGAGACTCTTTGGCAGAACTTCTTTTCCTTGCCCAGGCTGGGGAGGTGTTGGGTCTGGGGGCAGGCAGGCAAATCAGGAGCACAGTGAACTCACTGAGCAGAACGGAGTTGTCTCCTCACAGGCTGATGTAGGTCTCAGGTGTTCACCACTCAGCCAGAGCTCTGTAAACTTGCTAAGCCTCACTAGCCCAAAGGGTATCTGTCTCAGGGCTTGTGGAGAAGCTTCATATGTGATGCACAGGACCAGGCACACAAATGAAACCCTGGGGGACAGGACTGAACCAGTTTAAGCACCTTGGTTGAGGTAGTTGGGGAGGGGATTGATGGAGCTGCTTTGGCAGAATGAGACTGCGAATGCACAGCCCCTCAATGAATTCCACTCTTGGTTTTTCCCAGAAGATGCCATTAATCCTGCTGTGCCTAGTGTTTCCTTCACCTGAAAATGGACTGTAGTTTTGGGGTGTCATACAAAATTAGGGGTTTGGAGTTTTTTCTTTAATCTGAAAGCAGAATTGCAGGGAAATGCTTTTGCTGTAGTGCTTAGCTCAGACTAATCTTTCTTCACTGACTTGTTTTGCTCTGTGTCAGTGAGAGCTACGGGACAAGGTGGAGATTTGATGTCAGACCTCTTCAACAAGCTGGTGCTGAGGCGCAAAGGTACTGTCCTGCAATGTGGGCTGCTCCTTTCCCCTAGGAAAGAGGGAGGGCACTCTCTGGTACCCAAGTTGTGTCAGCCACAGCCTTTGAAACAGGAACAGAGATTTTCCTGGGCAGTGTACCACAGTATAGCTGAGAGTGTCTTTACGGAGAATGAGCAGAAGAATCTCCACCTCAAGTCCAGCTGGAGGCACTGGAGGGGTTTGTATGTTTCAGAGGATGGACCCTGAAAGCCACCTGTGCAGAAGGGACAGCAGTGTCTTTTCTAATGCAGTGCTTGGGCAGCTGGGCCCACTGCCCATATGGGCACTTGAGATGCCATGGCAGGTCTCTGGGGCATTTAGATCAAAGGTCACACCTCAGTGCTGGGCAGACGACAGCAGGGACTTGTTCTGGGGGAGCTGTAGTTAAACCTTGGCATAAGTCTATGACAGCATTAAACATGGCTGTTCTGGTTACCTGGGTGGTGAGAGCATGGCTTTCCTTCTCCCCTTTGCTGAATCTCTAGTTCCCAGGTGTCAATCACTGCTGATTTCCTTCCCTTACAGGTATTTCAGGGAAAGGACCAGGAGCCTCTGGGAACACTGATGCTCCTGGCAGTCCTGCTGGTGCCTTTGCTCGTATGTCGGACTCAATACCACCCCTCCCACCCCCACAGCACCCCGTCGGTGAGGAGGATGAGGATGACTGGGAGTCATAGATGGGATCCATTGAGTATTAGTGTGAAACTATTGCTGTCTGAAAAATTTCCGTGAAGTTGAAGGAAGCAGGTCCTTACTGCCTTCATTTTGGAAAAAGTGGGAAATGTCATTAATTAAGAGTATGTAAAGGGAAAGCCTAGCTGTCCAGCCTTTCAGCCCCAGCACCACAGGCTGGAGGGCACCAGCTGCTAGAAGCAGGTGCTCCCCTCCCTGAAGGCAGAGCTTGTGCAGACCACAGGGTTTGGACCTACTCAAAGGACAGGTGCCTCACAGTGGAAGTTTCTCAGAGGCATCTGTTTCTTTCCCTGTGGGGCTAATTAACATACAGGGAGCAGGTAACAGCTCTGTGCCATAAGTACTTCCTTCCTTGTGAAGAGCCTGGAGAGGTAGCATCCAGCTGCTGAAACTGGAAAAGAAGCAAACAAGGCTCTTGGGATGAGACTTGCTCAGGATGACAGAGGTAGCTGGGAACAGCTGAAGGATTATGTGGCTGTCCCTGGTGTTATTGCTGCCCTCCAGCACTGACCCATGGAAAGAACTCCAGGAAAGTTAAATTTAAGAACTTTGAATTCAGAAACTTAGGGGTTAAAAAGAGCAGAGCAATCCTGTGCTTAAACATGATCAAAGGAGAAGTGCTGTATTGTCACCTTATCTTTATTTCTCTTGTAAGAATGCACTGCTTCAATCCATTGGCTGTTTGAAGCTAGGTAGAAAGAGGGTGAGAAAAAAATGTTACCCATGGCTGCTCCATTACCACTCTGTGTTATTCCAATATGACATAAATTAGGCCTGCTAGTTCCTGTGAAAAGCTCAATGATGGCATTGTTCAGTCAAGCCTCCTACACTTGGTGGTTGATGGGAAAAAACCATATGTGTTCAGTCAAAATAATTACTCCCCATACTTAAGTGTACTTAAATAATACTTGCCATACTTGAGTGTTTTTATTGAAAGTATTTAATCAATTTAAATAAAACCTTAACTGCTGTAAACAAGTAGGTGCCTGCTGCTATTCTCTTCACCTGCCTCAGACCTACAACCAGTTTCCCCCCTGACTGTGGTGCTGAAGGCTATCTCACCATCACAGCACTCAGATACTGAACAGCAAATATCCACAAGGGAGGCAGAAGGCAGAGGTTTTATAAAGTCCATGGTACAGAAAAGCAACAACTTATGTTACTTTACCTAGTCTTCATAATGACAAATGCCATCTGTTCTCTACTCCACATCACAAAGCATCCAACTTGCCTCGATGGAACTGGGAACACACAAAACCAGGCAGTTTGTCCTTGGCCTTACTCTAAAGGGAAGGCCCTAAAAAGGTCCAGATGAGGACAATGGGGAACAGTGTCGGTAGCAGGACATAAGATACGATGAGTTCTGACCTTTCTTAACTCTGCAAATGCTGATCCAAAGGCAGGTTTTACCTGGGTCCTCTCCCTGATCCACTGGGGCAGTTTGTTAAATATGGCAGGGCGTGTGTACCTGTGGTCCAGGAGCAGGATGCTTGCAAAGTCCTTCTGATGGCGAATGGCTCTGCCTGTACAGAGGATAAAAATAAAGAATGGCCCAGTCAATTGTTCTCAGACAAGGAAGATCACGTTCCCATCATCTGTAATGCATCCTTTTTCCTACCCTCCTCCTTCAGTGTGTTTCGTATCCCCCAGCCTGTCCAAGGAAGGATGAATTACCTATTGACTGGTTTACTGCCTTCATGCACAGGTTTTCAATCAGCACTCTGCTTGGTGCCTGGCCAGCAGCTCTGGGCTGGAAAGAAATAGGCAAGTCTCAAACAAGGATGTAAGTCAAATTGGGGAGTCTTACTGACAAAGTAAAGCAAATACGTTTACCCCTGCTGAGTAAGCAGGTGGAGAGTAAGGAGGAACAGAAGAAAGGCTGCACTCAGAAAACTCTGTTGAGCATTCACAAAGAGCCAACCCAAGGTGCCCTTGAAGGCAGAAATCTTGTCCCCAAGAACAGCACCTCCAGTGTGCAATCAGAAGGGACAAACGATCCTGGCAAGCAGCTCCTACCACCCTGCCACCCCCTCTGGGTTGAAAGGTCCTTGCTCCCCTTGGAACTCAGAGCTGCCAGCAAGTCCTGGTGGCATTTCCCTTCACCAAACTTCCTCTGTGTTTAGGGCCACCTGTTCAGGAGCAGCCTGGAGAAGGTTGTGCTCTCAGTACCACACTATCTGGGAATGAGGGCAAGCTTAAGGAAAATAAAACCTCTGAAGGCAGCGCTGGGGCTCATGTGCTGGGAAGTTAGTACTAGAAAGCAGAATTGAAAGAGACAGAGGTGTGAGTGGTTTTTACCATGGTTTTGTCAAGCCAAGTCATTTTTTCCTGGAGTTCTGGTGATCTAATGTTGGGGTAAGGCATTCCCACCATAATCACACACCTGCAAGGGAGGACTGCATTATTCTTAATGTCTCATCCTAGAGCACTTTGCCAATAGACGGATAAATTAGAGGTTACTGCACCCCTGAAAGACAGCCAGGCCTGCAAACCAAAGGCAACAATAAAGCACAGCAGTCTGACAAGCACATGCTGAACAGGGCTGCAGAGGGATTCAGGGTGCCAGAACAAGGGATTATCTAGCACAGCAAGCCTAACTGCCTTTTTCACAGGAAGAGTGGCCTGGACAGGCGGGTTTTACACCACCCAGCAGACCCTCCTGTTGCTTTAAGCATCAGCTAAGTCGTCACACTTTTCCCCAGGACTTTCTATCCACCCATGTACTGAATGTGCCCATCATGCTTGGAGTCACTACACCACAAGCCAGAGGTGGCTTGGAAAGCAAGGAGCAGTCACCTTACCTTCCCAGGTCATCGGAGAAATTTATCCCTTCACTCATTTTGCCTCCAACTACAGAAAGCAGCAGAGCCCCTGTCATCTGTCCTCCTGTCTGGCTGCAGCACTGCAGGAGAGGGATCAGCAACTCAAATCAGAGCAGGGAAGATTTTTGTGCTTCGGAAACAATCCCACACCTAGGCTACAGCCCTCTTTCCATGTTAACAGTGCCCTCCTTTGCAGCATTCCCATACCCGCTGGCCTGCCACACTCCCACCAGACTGCCTGCTCAGCTTACCTTTATGCACTTGGCATATTCCACTAGCACTTGCTCCACCTGGTTGGCTTTCTTAGGCTCCTGAAAGATCTGTCAGGCACAGTTCATCAGTACAGCAACAGGAAGCAAACAGTTTAAAGAAAGGAAATAATTTTAGTCCCACGCCATTAACATATGGGGAACTGAGGTCATGGAAGGGAAAATTGCCTGAATAACTAACTTAACCAGTAGCTTTCCTCCACCCTGAAAATGCACTACAGCTGGGCTCTGAAGGGAGCAGCAGCTGCTCCTGCCCCTCCAACATTCCCTTTCAGCTTTGGGAGACTTGTTAATACTGCAAGACATTACAAGTCATCCAAGAGCTGAGAGGCAAAAAAGCAATGTGCACCTCTTGCACCTATGAATCAAAACTCTCTGAGGTCAGGAGGCTCTGCAGCTGCAAGATCTTGGAGGACAGGGACAGGACCAATCAATTTGAATCATCAATTTATTCCAAGCAGGGGCTCCTGTTTGTGAAGTGAATAAATTAGCTTTTTATGCAAAGCATAAAGTAGTATTTCTTTATGATATTCTACCACATCTAATTAGTTGCTGAAAACCTCTGCAGTTAATTAAGCTGTATTTTTATAGGTGCTGTACCTTGGCCTGAAACACAGGTAGTTTTCCTAGTAAACAAGAGGTCCAACATATATCTTCTCTGTAACAGTAAAGAACCTACAGAATGTATTTTCCTTTGGTTAGCAAGAAGTAATAAAAATTTTTACCAGCCAAAATCAGTCTTTCAGTAGAAAAAGAACTGGCAATTACAAATATAAGCCTAAACTAATTTATTGAAAAGTAGCTATTTAAGCTTCTGATTTAAATTAACTTTCCCTGTGTAATTTGTATATAATCTCAATGTGATCTCACCACAGCAACCTCAGGAAAGCCTTGAACCCTTCCCTGCTAAGATTTGATCTTGTGTGCGAGCAGTTGAAAGTTACACTTTGCTGCACTTATCCCCAATTGCCTTTCTAACGCATATCCAATTTGCTGGAGACTACAAAGGCAAAATAAGAACAACTCAAAGTTGAAATCTGGAACAAACTGTATGTGGCCCAAAGCCTTGGAGGCACCAGGCAGAGCACTGGAACCCTGACAGGACACACCTGAAAAGTACTCAGAGTGGTAACTCTACAATCACGGAGAAAATGAAGCACAATGCTTCCACCCAAAAACGTACAGGCTGCCCCATGTGCCAGAATGCCAAGAATTACCAAGGCTGTGAAATATCTGGAACTGTGGTAAGTTTTTTAGCTTTTGGTACACAGAAGTCAGAGACAGGGTATATGTAATTTTTCTTTCCCTGGCACATGATCCAAGGTGCCTGCACTGCAACCTGAACTGCCTGACTTTCAATACTCAGCTTTCAAATACCAGTTCTCATCTCTACTTCTGGCAGATAGCAAAATGCCATTTGTATTATGTTGTCTTATTCTGCCTAGACCTTGGCTGTGTGGGTCTGTGCTCTAGGGACACACAGATGAGCCTGGGAGAAACAAATTCCCTGTAGGAGCTCAACCCGAACAGCCCCTCCCAGCCACAAGAGAACAAGCCTGCTGGCTATGGATAGCAAAGACTGTCTACCCCCATGGCCACTACACAGAGTGTGCACTTCAAGAATGTAGAGCTGCAATCAATCTCATTTAGACTGCAGCTCAGTGCTCAGCTGCCCAGGAAGTATAATTTATTCATTACTGGAGGGATTAGCTGGATAAACATCCATCCTGTTCTGCTGTGCAGACTATAGGAACAACTCAGAGAGAGGTCCATAAGGCATATGGAATTGTTTGGTTTTTGACACTTCCATGGAAAGTACCAACTGCCCTGGCTGCACAATCACCTTCTTCTTGGATGCCAGGCGGGAGAGCAGCCCTGTCTTCTCCCAGTGTCCGTACACCTGCTTCTCATATTCGTAGGAGGGGAAGAAGCACACCACACCTCCTGGAATCACATTGCACAGGTTGGAAAGGATTCGACCTGTCTCATCCATCTGCAAGAGAGATTAGAGCATATTGCAGCTAACAGGAGCCGCAAGTAATGCCGCTCCAATTCTCTGTTCAATCCCAGGATCACACCTTCCTTATGACATGCCTTAGGGGAGGAAAAAGATGTGGGAAATATGCCAGGTCTGTGAGAACTCCCATGGGGAGCTGGGCATCACTAAAAAGCTATTCACTGCCTGGCCTTCTTCCCTAGCCCAGGGTTTCTGTTATGGCTGTGGAGCTGTGGTCATTCAAGAAAGGAAGGTTTGCCTGAGTGGGTGGAAGTTGTCCCATTAGAACAGATATTGAGAACTGGTTAGCACATCTACTTGAGATTCAGCAGGGACAGAGCAGACCTAGTGTCTAACTTTGGGTGCTTACTGGCCTGCCACAAGAAGAAGGAAGATGTGCCAAAACACCTGCAGATGCTTCTGTGGTTTGGGATTTCCTTTGCCACGGCTTTTGCTCAGCCCACCTCTTAAACACAGAGTGTACCCTGCTCTGAAATATAAGCCTGTGAAGCAAAAAGAGATCCCAAGGAAGGGAACAAAGGATAAACTGACCATCTGAGGCAGGTCTCTGGTCTGGTAAGTGAACTCCAGCTGCTGGTTGGAAGGACCACTGCAAAGGATGATGGGTAAAATATTTTCTGGAGGAATCACATGTCCTGGGGACAAAAACGAGTAGGGAGAGTCAACATTACTGCTGTTAATACAAACTCCATGAGCTGAAGAACTTTAATTGCATTCTAGTGACGGAGACAAATGTTTGCCTGGCTAAGCCAAAGTGCCTAAGTCACTCAGCTGCTCCAACTTCCATCCCCTCAGCCCCTGGGAGGAAGGCATGGCACACTGCCTGCTAATACCAGTCAAGACCACAGGGGAAGCTCAGAGTGAAAGGGAACTCACACCCCCTTTGCTGCCCTGAGTTTTAGGAAAGACGCCACATTGTTTTGAGGGCTGACAGAATAGTGTTAAAGGCAAACTGCAGCCCTTGCAGCTGCTGAGCCCGCCCTGCCAGCCTGGCACACTCACCACAGGAGAACTCCACGATACGGGCAGGGTCCACGCCAGCACGGCACAGCAGCTGCTCTCGGAAATCGGCCACCTAAGATCCACAGAGCAAAGACAAGTAAAGTACCAGTGTCCCAAAACCCACGACACCAGCAGCACCAGCACTGCTGGCCAAGGGCAGCCCCAGGCCAGTGCCCCGCCGGGCCCAGCAGAGGAGCGGCAGCGCACACAGCGGCACTGACCTTCCGCACAGCCCCCGTGCCCTGCTCCCCGTGGGATCCCTGCAGAGTGACCGAGGGCATCACCACGTCCTCCCACTGCTCCCCGTGCTACTTCCAACCTACCACGAGCTCAGCCAGCTGCTCTATTTCCATCCCCGCCCTCCTGAGACCCCAGCACAGCATCCTTATTCCCTCACCGGCTGCATGGTGCCTCCAGCAATGATGACAGCACGGCATTCTTCCACAACCTTGGCAAAGTGAACAGCTGGATTCAGCAAGAGGAATTTGAGGCTGCTGTGACCAACTGTGCCTGGGAAAAGGAGAGAAGATCATTCAGGAGCTAGCTGTGACACATACTCAGGTATATGAGAGATTCTCCCTCCTGACCTGGGCACTCTGGCAGGTACCCACCTCTCAAAGTAAGGACTTGCTGTTCAACACAGACAGAGGCAGCAGGAGATAATGCCAACCTGGAAGTTACCTTCTGCTTCCTAATCTCCCTGGAGCTGTACAACAGGTGCAGTAAATTGCAGGACAAAACTTGATATCCAAAGTGGGAGCAGACCTCTGCAAACCCTGGCCCCAATGCCCTTGATTAAAAATTTCCTTGGGGCCATAAGCATCCTCAGACAGACCAAGCCTGCCAGCCTACATCACAGATGGCACAAATGCAAGTTCCCCACAGACTCTTGTATCTCTTCCCTGAGTGCCAGTGAAGCACCCTGCTTGTGACTGACTCGTGCCACCTCTTCCCAGCTCACCCTTTCCAGTACCTTGCCTGTTGAGAATTACTCTGCCATCTTGGTTTGCATTTGTGAGGGCCGAGAGAAATCCTTCAATCTGCATCAGTGGAGAGGAAGTTTGGAGCTGGTTGTGCTCAGCCTCCACGGGAGGACTCTGGGGGGTACCTGCTGGCCCAAAAAAGGAGGCAAGCAAATTAGGCTACACTTCTAAAGACAGCACAAAACATGCTCTACAGGAACACGATAACCTGGCCTACATATGCAGGCAGAGAATAAACACTCATTAAAGGGGAAAACCCAAATTCTGTCTCATTGCTAAATTTAAAAAAAAAAAAAAAAAAAAAAAATCTGATTTTTGTGGATGGTACCACTAAGCAAAGCTACTACACACAGTAGCTCAGATCCCAGAGGCAGTAGGTCACAGAAGTGCAAAGCTTGAGTGCATGTGGTGTGAACATGGAATTGCATCTTTCAGCTTGAAAGTGACCTCACTAATCCAATGTACAGTTGCCTAGGTCAGCTAGTGAGACCTGTTAAAAAACACCCATGCAGGACACGTTCTTCAGTCTCTCATTCTGCTCACAGATGCACAAGGAGAGGATGCCTGAACTCACCCTCTTTATCAGATCCCCGCTGAAGGGTGAGAAGAAAGTCCTGCAAGCCAGCCAGCTTCTGTTTCTCCTTGCTGGTCTTCACAGCTGAGGCAGAGCCCCCATATCGCTCCACAAACCCAAGAAGCTGCCAAACAAAAGCCAGAATGACTAAGACTACCAAAAGCAGGAATCAGAGAAGATAAAGGCAGGTTTGCTGGCCTGCCACAATTTAAGTTCCTCAGTAGATGTTCACAAACCAGCCTAATCAGAATTTATCAGCTCCCATTACCTTCCTACACCCACTGAATCAAAAGCAAAACAAGTTTCTGATGTCTGTTCTTCCACTGCAACACAGCCTACTTGGCTGGCAAATTTGAGGCCAAGCAGCACAGAATTGGCACACACTGGAATACCGTGGTAAAACACATTATATTTTTCTTTTCTGGATAAGCAAGGGTTAATCTGCCCATATAGTACTTTTTATAGGAACCAGTTTGTTTGCAGAACAGGATGGAGAAGACAAGCTCCCATCAGGTGCTGCATCTTCCATCTCAAACTGCAGGTGTGAAATAGCATTGGAACACTGCTGACCATGAAACCTCAGGGCAAGTACCTTCCTGCTGATAAGGCTCTTCTCACAGTACCGCTGAACCTGTTGGAGGAAAATGAACAGGCATTCAGCACCCTTCTCCCATCCTGATCTCCTTGATCCCTGTCCAGCAAGGCTGTCATTTGCTGTGCTTTTGGGGAGAGGTGCAGAGCTCTTTGTGGGCAGAAGTTTATTACAAAGGCATTCAAGAGAGGAAACATGCAGCGTTAAGGTACTGTGTTTGGAGGTTCAAGGGGGGGGGGAGTTGGATTACTGGAGTAGCAAAATTTCTGCATCCACAGCCCTTACAGTGTAGCTTTGCCTTACAGACAGCTAGAAAGCATGGGTTTTGGTTCTACTTCCAGATTTCACACAATAATCCTAAACAAGTCACCACCAACTGTGCCCTAACAGACAATGTTTGCATTACCTTGAAGAGGTTGATATTGTCAGTCTGGCTCTGAAATAGAAAGTCATTGATGGATTTTAATACTGTCCCTGAAAGGAAAGAGAGAGAAGGGGAAAAGAAATTATTGGCTGCTGCTGGCCCTGCCCCCCTTCCTGCCCACACCCATGTCCCTGACTGATAGCTTCATACCCCAGGAGTTCCCTCCAGTCTTACCTGTTTCGGAAACTGCCTGACATCCAGGATTCTGGTTCACATTACCTGTAAAACATGAAACCAATTCAAAGAAGGCTTGAATCTACCTCAAAATTAAGCAGGAAACTAAAGACTGAGCTTGATGGGTACAGTGCACAAAAAAACCAAGAAATAACTACACATATACAAAATGTAGCTATACAGACAAAACACCAGCTCCCACTCAGTTTTAATTTGCCCTGTAGAGTAGCCCTACATTGCAGAACAAGTGTGCAGCTGCATCCTAAGGAACACCACCTACATTCCTTCTGTGGCAGGAAGCAGCAGTTAGGATGGGTGATCAGAAATGCTCACACTGTATGTAGTCATCATGCTGCAGAGACAAAGGGAAGGGACTGCAATGCATCCCTCACCCCTCCTCAATGCAGCAGAAGGGAGCTGGTAAGCACAGACAGAGGCTGGCAGGCAACTGGGAGGAGGGGAAAAACCTAAGGACACCTACATGCCCAGAGCCCGACAGCCAGAACAGGATTAACTGCTGCTGCTCACTGCATTTTATGTCCTAGGGTTTAACACCGACCTCACATCTCAGTTTTGCAGCCCCTGCCCCAAAGGGCTGCATTTCCCCTGGCATGGAGGAAGTTCTATATGAAGTTAGGACATGCCCTCCTCAAGACACACTAAGGTCTAGCAAACCGATCACTGGAGAAAAGGAGCGAGCCTTGCAAATTCCTGTGGACCTAAAATCAAAGCAAAATATTTTCTCACAAAGGAAAGGCACCACTCAAGGAAGATTCATTCTGCAGATGCATGCTGACACACATAGGGGCCCTGCTACCAGATGACCCAGAGATTTATTTCATGCAGTTCTTGTGCTACACTGTTATACATCTGCTGTAGTCCTTGCTTAGCTCACTTAGCATCTTACATAATCCCCACTTCAACTGGATCTCAAAACCACACAGAAAAGAAAACTGCTTCTACCAACTTACAATGTCATCTGCTGCTTCTAAGCTAGTGAAACAAAGAGAAGGGTTCCAGTAGACATCAGTCAACTTCCCCATGTACAAACCAGCCTGTGAAATAGAACTACTGGCAACTGAACCTATACATAAGCAACACTTCCCTGCAGTCTCTGCAGAGGAGGAAGGGGGACAGTGTCCTGAGGAAGTACTAAGTAGCTCAGAGTTTATCAGTATCCCTGGAGACACAAAAGGTTTCCTTACCTCCCAGCATAGCCACAAACTGCTCCAGTAAATACAGGATCTGCTTAATGTACATCAAGTTCTTTGCCTTCAAATGTTTCCTAAGAAAAATGAGATGTATTTAGGCCCCAAAACTCTTCAGGGACTAACAGAAACAGATGAGCTGCAGAAACAGGTACATTAACTCTTCTTAATTTTGGAGAGTCAGGAACTAAGACTTCTTCCAAGTTCACTCTCCCTGTTTGTGACAGGGCCCTGTCATCTGGATATCCTGCCCAAGTGCATTTACCCATGCTCCCCCCACTGTTCCTACCATTGCACTTCTTGCATATTAATTACAGTTGGCTTATTACAATGGCAATGATCCCTCAAGACCCTGTTGCAATAATGCTCCAAACATTCAGAGTTATTATCATTGAACACAACAATCAGCCACTGCAGGGATGGCAAGATGCAGAGCCAACACCCACATGCAGCTTCCTCCTCCTCAGAGCTTCCTGCTTCTACCATAATGCCAGTCAGCACAAAGGAAGACCAAGGGAGAGACATGAAAGACTGAATCTTTTGAAACTCTGCATCACAAAGTAAAAGTGATTAGAGAGAGATATTGGGAAAGGAACTGAGTGTATAAGGGTAAAACAGAATCCTCAGGTTACCTCCTTCTCGCTGCTTAGCACCAGCCCCAGGAGTCTGACTTATACGGATTATAGACAGAGATAATGAAGCAAGTGTCTTTTCATCTGCAGAACTCTTAATGCAGTAACTTTCCACTCAGGAAAAGCAAGAAAGACCCTGCAGCCATGGGGCAAGCCAAGGCATCCACAGACCTTGCTCTGTTGAGCTGTTTTTCCTCAAGATCCTCACCTGTATCGCTCCATGTACTGCGACAGCTGGGAGTGGGCACAGCACAGCTACACAAACAGAAAGCAAAAGCTGTTGTTATAAAGGAGAGAAGAAAGAGCACTGCTGGAAGCAGACCTCCCTCTCCATTAGCAGGCCAGGCTGTGACTCACCTGAGAGCCGCTGACCTCGGCACTGTGGATGCAGGTGATGGTGTCTATGAGGTTGTGGGCCTCATCAATGATCACAACCTGGTCCTTCAGCTTGATCCCGGCAGCGTTCCTGGTAGGCTCATGCAAAAGCATCTGATAGGGCAGCACCACCAGCTACAGGAGAAGCACACACTGCCCTGATTCCAGCTGTCATCCTTACAAACTTAAGGCATTCCTCAACCACTCATTAACAGCCCATATCAGAGGGCCAGGCAGAACTCAGCCAAGTGACTTATTATGGGAAAAGTAAGAACGAAACCAGGACAGGAGCACGTGCTTGAGAGGGGTACTGGGACATAAGCTGAAGAGATATTATTATGCTGCAATTGCATATGGGCTCCGGTTACCTTCTAAATCTCCTTTGGAGCACTGAAAGCATGTCTTCAGAGAGAACCCAGCAAGGAAGAAGAGTGGTGTAAGGGCTGAGAGTACACCTGTACTGTCAGTATTGCTGAACTGCTCAAGTATTTCAAAATGCTAAGACATACAGCATCCTTATGAACTTCTAATGGGAATTCTTGTTTTCCTTTGCTCTCTGAGCAAAATTACAGAAACAGCTGACAGAAACACAGCCGGTTTACAGACTCCCCCAGTCTAAGTAACAGTACCAGAGGGAGCAGGCCATCAGTTCATTCACAGAGTGCCTGGCATTAATGCCACTAAAACTGCTACGCCTTACCTGAGCAGCAGGGATAGCGAATCGACTCCCATAATATGGGCAGGCTTTAGTCTCCCTTCCCAAGGACACCAACTGCTCAATATCCTTCACTTCCACTAGAACTTCATCACGGAGAAACTGCATTTGCTCAAAGGAATAAAATGGGCACATGGCACGACTCACACGTCTCTTCTTCCCCTCATTCTCTTCACTGCTCTTCTTTTCTAACAGCAGAAATCAAAAGAAAGCCACAAGCAACACATACAATAGCCTAGAATAACCACTTTGTAGAACCTCATGGATTTCAAACCAAGCTTTGTCCTGTGTATTCCTGACCTATCACCTATTTTAAAATTATTGAGCAGTAACCTTTCCATCTCCACAGTGGACACTACTTTTGCCAGTTAGATTTAGCATGTGACATCTTCCAACATTTCTAGCTTTGAGTTAACAAACACAAGTATCTTTCTGTACAGAAGTCCTGACCAGCTGAAGACACTCAGAAAATTCATCCTGATGTCAGCATAACCTGGAGATCAAGAAAAGCACCAAGGATTCCCGTTCCTCCAACCTGTCATTTTCAAGCTTCTTCCACTCTTGCTAGAACTGACTGGGAGTGCCCACTGTCTCCACACTCTCATGACACCTTTATTGGAATTGCTTCCCCAGACTGGGAGCATTCTTACCATGTTTGTTCTTTTGCATCTCCATGCAGCGGTCATTGATGAGCTGGAGAGCGCCCAGGCGTCGCACCTCCTCATTCACACACAGATTCTGGCACGTGTAAAGAGAGGAAGAGGAAAGGAATCAGTTCACAGGTGACTGTCCCTGTGTGCACCACCTGCTGTAAAATGAAAGGTTTTCTTTAAAGCAATCTCAGGCCAGATTCCAAAAACAAAAAGTCTACCAGTTAGACATTGTACATACTAACTGCTAAAAACGTGCTCAAAACTTATAGAAACTTAGGAGGAAAAAATGAGAGAAAGAGGGCTCACTGCTACACAACAGCTTCTAAAAAATGCTGTCAGAAGTACTAGTCTACTAAGAGGAGCACCTCAGTGACTCAGACATCTGTAGTACTCCATGTCAGAAAAGGTAAAACATATTCTTGTATTTACATCAAAGGGTATATTATCAAAATAGAGTTCACAGAAAAATGTACATCACACAGATCTGTGTTGCAACCCACGGCTGCCTTAGTTTTTCAACTGGAGACTCAGCCAGGCCTCAAGGTGACTTCTGTGGCACCAGATCCACACAGCTCCTGGCAATGTATTCTGGGTCCCTGAGAACCAGCACGTACCTGCCTGGATCCCAAGGAGACCAGACGGATGTTTTTGCCAAAAGGACTTTTCTGCACCTCGTGCACAAACTGGGACAGCTGGGAGTGAGTGCGGCTGCAGTAGTAGATCTGCAATGAGCAAGAACAACGGGAAGACAAGAAGAATATGGAAGCCAATCCCTACCTATGACCAATCCTGTAAGGAAGCAGCCAAGCACTTCTGCAAGGCTCACCTTGCTCAAGCCTTCAAAAGCACAAAGGAAGGCACATGTTTGAGTGTCACCTTAAAACTGCTCAGGCCAAAGGCCCCATCTTTGTTTTCTCCTCTGGATTTGCTTTTGTTTCCATTTAATTTTCCAAGATGTCTATAAAGCAGGGACTCACCATGGGAGAGTAATAAAAAACTATTTATTGCTGTGTGCTTTTAGAGCAAGCCACAGCAAAAACTAAGCAGTGCTAGCACAGCAAGCTGCTTAGGTAGGTAGTGTAGTCCAGAAGTAGATGAGCACAGCAGAACTAGCTGTCTTTATCAACAAACCTGGCAGGTTTTGGAAGCTAGTTCCTAAATCTTTCTGTACTGCCTGACTGTTGGAAAGGTGCAAGGAAGCCATAATTCTGCTTACTCCTACACTATTCCATGAAGTGGCATTATTTAATTTCCTCATCTCACCTTAGTCACATGCTCCTCTTCCAAATCATCATCTTCTTCCAGCCTAAGAAAAAAGAAAGCTCAAAGTTTCCTTTCAGCAGACCACTGACAGTAAGAATCAAATGATGCTCCGCCACAAGAGTGGGGTCTCAAGAGAGATGATTGAGTGAAAAGAGCCTCAGAACTCATCTCAGGCGGCAAAAGAAAATTTAACTTTTTAAGAACACTGTAAGTATGCATAATCAAGTCAAGCCTTTCTCTTTAAAGGAAAAATCTCTCCTGGGCTGTGCCTTTTTTCCAAGTTCAAGAATTTTTTTTCCTTTGGATTCAGGGGCCTCTAAGCCTCAGGCATAAGCTAATCGGTGCTATACTATTCTTTGGTGCCCTTATTTATTTATTTTTGAAAAGCTTTCCCATTAGCAGCAGTTTACCACCCTCCAGATATTGCATAAAGAAAGGCTTCAGGAAAGCATTCAACTGCCATAGAGCTCCTCAAAGGCAGCAGCTGTTCAATGTTTGATAAACTACCTACATATAAAAAGTGCTTAAGTGTTCTTCAATTTTTAAGGCAGAAAGATCTGTCTAGACAATAATTAGTAAATTTGTAATTTAAATGTGTTTGATTTTCTGTGAAGTATGGCTTCTGGCTTTCTGCATAAAGCAAATGCATGAAAGAGAAAAGTGTGCATGGGATTTTCATGCCAAAGCTCTGTCTTCAGAAATGTGAACATCTCTGCCTTTAGAATATCAAAATATGCCAGTGCTAATCTGGAGAACTGACAGCTTCCTCTGATTTCCTTAGTTCCATTCTGCTTTTCTAATGCAAGGAACTTGATCTCGACTCATTAACTCAACATCTAGAGGCACTCTTTGGGAAGCTGGGCACAGGTAAAGGCAGGACACTGCTACACATTTTAAGGTGCACTTTCCCACAAAGCACTTAAGTCACTCAGATCAGTTTAACAAAAGTTTAAAAAAACCAAAACAAACCAAACTAAAATCCCCACAAACAACCAATTAAATAAAACCCCAGAACAACCACAACCACTGCCTTACACTGTTTGAAAAGGTGATAAACACTTTTTAATAAAATCTGCACAACTTCTTTAAACAGGGCAAGACAAAAATTAGACCAAAAATGTTTCCTTAGCATGGAATCCCCTCAGTCCCTGTCCTTACCCAGATACCATTTTCTTTTCATCATCACTCTCATATTCAGCAAGAATCAGCTCCTCCTCATTGTGATCTAGCTGGTCTAGAGCACTCTCTCCAGCTCCCTGGGAAAGAGCCTCCTTGCTGAGCTGAAGAAGGCGCCTTGCCTCATCCTCCTCGCATCTCTAGAAGGAATACAAAGACACAGTATTTCCCATAAAAAATGAGAGTAGCACAGGGGTTGCTTTATGGCATTAACAGGTCAGAAGACAGCACAGTCCCTCACAGAAGGTTGAAGCTGTTCAGCCCTACAGAAGGCAGCTGTTACCAACAACCAAAGACTTGCCCACACAGACAGTTATGAAGGGGAACCATAAAGGACCTTCTCTGCAAAAGGCCTGCTGAACCAACAGACCCTCAATGAGATGCTCACGTAATCCAGTATTAGTTATTTAAAGTGCCCCATAAAAGATGTCTGCCTGAGAGAAAACAGTGTGTAAACCTGAACAAACCTGTAAGGACATAATCAAACACTCTGTGCACATTTCACTCAAAGCTAGAATCAGCTCAGCATCAGGTTTAGAACAAGATTTCTCTTACTGCTTTATCTCCAGTTGTATGACTGTTACTCAAACACAAGTCTACCTCCCTACAAAAATTCAGTTGAACTGCTGAATAACAGTTTTCTGATTTACTTTTGTGTCACAACAAAGAAAAGTTCATTTTTTCCATCTCAAAATCGTATCTTCCAATGTCAATGAGCGTTTTATTACCAAGAAATGATACAGAAAATGCAGTTAGTAAGCACTACAGAAAATATGAATCACGTGCTTTTCTAAATCTCCATAATATTTCTCTCAGTTGCTTTCTTCTCTTCATCGTGCTTCTCATTTCACATGCTCTTAATCCTCTTTTACGCAATAAGTTCTTTGTTCCATTTGTTTTTTATTTGCCATTCTTTACTATTTCTGTCATATCCTTTTGACAGGGGTTGACTAAAACATTACACAGTATTTGAGATAGAGCACACTATAAATTAATAGCCTGGCAGGCTAATAAATCTGTTTGGGGACTTGAACTGAGTATTTCTGGGAAGTATAACTCATATAATAAAAAAACATCAAGAGCACTAAGGCCAGTTCATGTGCCAAAATGAGAGTAAATATGTATATGTGAACTTTAATACCATTTTTATTTGAGAAGTATAGACTGTTCACACATGTTCATAAAACAGATCTTTCCAAAAAATGCCTCAAAGTATTAAAGCTTTTAAAAGAAAAGAGAAAGCTAGAACGCAATCAGAACACATATCATTTCTGCCCACACACAAAAACTGTCACAGGAAATTATCAATGTACAAATTGGTTTTCGCATCTGTACTTTTAAAAGAAAATTTAACAAATTATTTCAGATGACTAATTGCGGAAACCTCATACAAAAGAGCTCCTCAAACAGGTGGGTTGGAAAAGTCAGTGTGAAGTTACACATAAGCAAATACGAACAACACTGAAGGTAACCAAAACAAAAAGTTTTGAGATCTGTGGAATAACTCACCTTCCTCTTTGCTGCGTATTTTAACTGAACATTGTGCTGAATTTTCTCAAGACGATCTTCTCGCTTTTTCCTTCTGATCTGCTCTTCCTACAAAAATGGGAGAGTGTAAGCAAGATGAAGTGGATTTAGTCCTCAACTCTTGGTATCACTAATGCTCTGGGCACAGAAAAAAGATTAACAGAAACAAAATTGCCGGTGCAGGCTGCCATACTCCCAGAGCGCTCACCTACGGAGTGCTCCTTGCTCAAAGCAATATCGTTTCCTGTCTTGGGCAACCTCCAGGCAAAGATACACCTCTACCGAATTTGCCTCACCTGTTCTCCACTCATCATCCAGGATACAGCACCAGTTTGCCCAGAGAGGTGGTGGAGTTCCCTTCCCGGGAGATGCTAAAAAGCCACCTGGATAGTGGGTACTGCGCTCTAGGGACTCTGCTCGAGCAGAGAGGCTGTTCTAGGTCCCCTCCAGCCCTAGCCATTCTGTGACTATGTGACATCAACCCTCCCGATCCTTTCGTCCTTACTTCACCCGTCCTCTGCACACGAGCGCTTCCTCACCTTCAGCCTGTTCACCATGTCCCGCTCCTCTTTCTTCTGCACGAAGGCCGTGACCCAGTCCGGCTGCCCGGCCGCGTCCGCGCTCCCCGGCCGCGCCTGCTGCGGGCTCGGCGCGTCCTGCCCGCCGGCCCCGAGCGCCAGCAGCCGCTCCTCCTCCTGCCGCCGCTTCTCCTCCCAGTCCCGCAGCCAAGACAGGGCCCCGCAGATGAGGCTCAGCGATTTTCCCTGTCACGGACAGCCAACACGGTGAGGAGCGCTGCCGCCGCCGCCGCGGCCCCGCTCGCCACAAGCGCGGCTCGGCGCCGCCGCCTCACCGTGCCCGTGGGGCTCTCGAAGATGCCAACGCGGCCGGCCTCCAGCGCGCCGTACAGCGCCTCCATGAACTGCTCCTGGATGCGGTACGGAGTGTAGGGGAACGGGAACCGGCCCGGCATCTCCATCCACCCCGCTTCGAACCGGGCGCCGGGGCCGCCCCTTCCCCTTCCCCTTCCCGTTACGGGCGGAAGGGCCGCCCCGCGCTGCCCCCGGGCACGGAACGCCTTCCCGAGCTCCCCGTGCCCGCCCGCCGCTCCCTCCCACCGCACGCCGGGACCGAAAACTAGATTACGGGTTGTAATAAATAAATAAAGAATGTGTTATTTAGGATGGAAACGCACAGTAATAAAACACTGCAACTTAGAAGGGGTTTATATAACACGCAGTCCTTAAATGCCGAACTGTATATGTTCATACTCTGGAAACAACAGCGACCTAAAGAAGGATGGCATAAAAAGAACAAGTCAATTGCAATCAGTCTCTGGACCAGCACTGAGAACTCATGGTGTACTGGTTCAGACTAGGCCATCTGGGGGCAAATCCTTTCTTTTTGGGTTAAATAATATAAGGCCACATTTTTGTACGTGTTTTGTTGATGTCCCACGTTAGAAGGAGTTTCAAATCAGCAGCAAAAAACCTGGGAGAAGCTATAGACTACCTTTTGTTATGTGTAGTACATATAACTCGCGCCATTACTAATATGATATATGTGATATTGAATATTTGTTAGAGTATACACATTTGTATTAGGATTTCCCCCCAACCCTCGCAGGCAAGACCGGGTGTATATTAGAAACTGATTTACAAGTAAGAAGGTATAGCTCGCCAGGAGATGGGCCATGTCTGGGGAGATACAGAAACCCCAGGTGCTGTTCCTTCGTGTGAACGACCTGAGATGGATATCATGGAAATCCTCAGGCAGATACATGTGAATACAGCGTTCCAGAATTCCCGTAAATTTCATCAAGGGATTGAACAAACTCCGGACACTGAATTGTTCTCCCTCATCACTAAAAAAAGAGAATCTTATTAACATATGGACTCTGAATAGAAGAAAAGACTGATTGCTGAAATCTTGGCCTCAGGCGGAATTTTCCCTATAAAAACTGCTTGTGCCAGGATGGAAGTGTGTGGGCATGGAGGAAAACCTCTGCTGAGGCTGACTCCTTGTTGCACACCCAGGGCCGACCCCGGGCTCGGCACTGTTCTTTCCTTGTGGCTGGCTAGATAGAATTTGATCGAAAAATAAATACTTTATTTTTTCATATTAATTTGGCTGGACAACTTTTCATTTATAACACTTTCAACTGGAAGCACTTCTGCATATAGGCTTTCTGGGACCAGCCATTAGTTTCGTGTTAATGAAGTGATACATGGAATAAATAAATAGACTCCACAACCTGAGGTAGTTATGAAGTATGTAGGTACTGTTGGCACCCGGCACAAGAGAGATAGCTCTCCGAAAACTCTAACAACCACCTTTATTCCCAAAGGTGTTCCATATGCAGTACACTGCACAACTTTTCATGCATATTCAACCCCTGGCCCCACCTGTCCTCCTTCTGGGCACGTGTGGTTTGCTGTGGTGGTCCTGCAGGGATCTCTGGTGGTCTCTTGAGGCTGAAGATTTTGGTCTTCCTCATGATTGAACTTTTGAACTCTTCCTCTCTGCGGTATTGGTCTCTTCAGCCAATATTCCCATGCTTGGTCATGGAAGAAATCAGCCTACAGCACAGAAACATCCACCCCTACCCAGCAGACTATTTTTTTCCTTTCTTCCTTCTTTCCTTCCAGTCATAGCGCCCTTTTCCTTAAAAAGAAAGCTCTGCAGCAAATTGTATCTACATTTCATCTACAGAACAGATAGACAATTGAGTAGAATGATAAACTAGTTTATTAACCTTTAGACTGAAGCATTTGGAGGTTCCTGGTTTTTCATAGATTATACTCATTTGGAAACACATTGGAAATTCATGCTAGAGTGTGAAGTACGATGGGCTGGACAGCGCTGCTTACAGCCTGAACATCATCCTGTTCAGTCATGGCATAGGACGTGATGTAGCAGATTAAACCCCTCAGTTTTGTTTCAGCTGATCTGCAGATTTTGGAAGACACCACTACACTGGTTATACCAATCCCCAGAGTTTTGTTTACAACACTCAGGGCTGAAAAACATTTGCAGTACAAAGGTACTCAAAAGCACCTCAGAGCAGCAAACTGACCCAAATATTGTCAGCACAAAAAGAAGAAAAAGCCATACTTTGGTTTATGTCTTTTAACATTATGAGCATATTCTTTGCTGAAAAATATACAAGATGGATTTCATTTTGGACAGGGTCATTTTGAAAGGGTATTAGATACCACAGGACTTTGCCATACTCTGCCTACAGATCTTCCTGGAAGCAGAATCTATTTACTGAGGGAGCAGAAGAGGCAGAGTAAGTGTGGAGTGTGCAGCATGGTACACCCCAAATTTTCAGCACTCAGCTCCTCCCTTCCCAGACATGTTCCATGCAACTTCTTACCTTGTGAGCAGTCTCTCTACTCACAATGTTGGGCTGCTTCTGGTCAAAAATCTGCTTTTCATTTATCCAAAAGGTTAAAGCCAAGCTGGGGACTGCAGGTCCTGATCAGAGGAAGGAAAACAGATGTAATAAATACCTATCATGGTAGCAGTGCTGTAGGGTGGGATTACAGGAGGATAAGTATTTAGGAGCTGAAAGTAACCTAGACCATAGGAAAATGATGCCCAAAAATGTGACTCAGGGTCACTGTCTGTCCTGCCACGCACACTGTGACACCACTGTTCAGGTCCAATAACCAGGGTCAGCTCAGGTAGCACACACGTGTCAACCAGATGTCCAGAGAGCCACCTGACAGCTCACTGCCTTCCCACAGGTGTCTGAATGTTCTTCCTGCTGCACTTCCAGACCAAAAATGCCTCCTGATGAGTTTTGTGTAAGAAAACTATCAATTCCTCAAACCATTTTCTCTCCATCCCCTTTCTTCCTAGTGTTCTCTGCCATGGTCTGGAGCCCTGTTTAGTGCTTTGTGGATCCTGTCTTAGTGGATCAGCCAAGCATGCACAGATCTGGACAAGAGACAAGATTTTGATCTGCTCACACATTATCAACAGCAGCAGCCCAAAGGCAGAATTTCTTGTCCTGTGCTACAGAAAAATGGCCTTTTGACTGCCTCTTTCCAGATAGATTTTGTAGGGCTGGCAGTGAGCAGAAAAAAAGAGTCACACACACCTGTTGATGCACAAACACTGCCTGGGGGAGGGGACAGCAGGATGGGAGGCAGCAAGGAGGAAGCAGGAGCAACGGAGGATAGAGTGTTTGAATGCAGGTGTCTGTGACATCAGTGGCAGAGCAGCAGAGATGACAGCTCTGGCAGGGCAAGTGGGCCCCAACTGTCATGGGCACTGCTCCCAGTGTCATGACAGCCCTGTGGGCTTGTCTGGCTTTGTCTGGTGAGTAAGAAATGTCCCTCCTCCAAACCCAGTTGTGAGGAAGGGCAGCCAACCCAGCTGCTCTGCAATCTCCCCTTTGCTCCTCAGCTTGGGCAGTTTGGAGGCAAAAGGGAGGAATGAAGCACCCTCCAATGCCTCAGGTGCAAAGATCCCAGGGCTTACAATTTTGGCAATTTTCACCACTGGAGTTGGTATTTTATTCATCAAGGAGGGCCACAGAGTGACCTTAGAGCCAGAAAGGAGTCAGATCTGGATGCAGTTGGGCACAGGCAGGAGCAGAGGTGAAGACTGGAGATGCCGTGACAGGGACAGCTGGGTGCATTAAACCAGACACAAGTGCTAAGGCACAGGTCTGGAGTTAACCCACAAAGCTAAGAGGGAAGAGTTGACCCAGTAAAGCAACAAGGGAAGCAGGAGAAAGAGGTCTGAGAGAGGACTTTGGTTAAAGACCTATTTACCCAGAGGAAGAGAGTTTGTAGAGGCTAAAAATCTTGGAAGGAAACAGTAATTGCTCCAGCCCCAACAACAGAGCAATATTCTCAGTTTCAGCCATGACTTCCAAGACATTTCTTCCAGTTCAAGATTTGAATCTCCAGAGCTTTGTTGAAGGTCCCTCAGCCACATACTGTCACTCCTTTCACCATGGGCGTAGCAAGTTTTCCACAGGTCTGGACCTTCCATCTCCAGCTTGTAAATGCATTTTCCATGTGCTGGATCCTGCACCCAGAAAAGGCAACAGAGATCTGGATTCAGTCCTCCAGCTCTTCCAAACATGTGGTTGGCATTTCCTCCTCCCTCTGACTCCCTGCACTCTATTTCCCACCAGTGCTCTTGGGCTGGGGCTGCGTGGCCGGCCCTCGGGGCACAAAGGCACAGCAGCCGGGAACACCGCTCTCTGACCAGGAATATCACCAGTTCTTCGAGTTCCTGCGGATCACCGTCCAAGCCAGCACTGCCTGCCACCTTCGTGAGCTGTACGGCTGCAAGAACTCACTTGTCCAGAGACTGGATGAATATGAAAACCATGGAGTCATCCCTCCAGGTAAAGCCAACCGTGATTCCCAAGGACAGGCAGTTGGACAGGAGTCCTGCATGGCCCTGATCACTCACATTTCATTGGATCCACATGTGTTCCTAGGACCAGCCTCCTCTCACTCCTTGGGTCATGAAGATGACCAAGAAGCAGTGGAGTTTCCCAAAAGGTCCCCATATGACACAGGGGTTTTCATGGAGGGATGTCACTCCACAGGGAGGTTATTGCTAAGGGGGATGCCAGCACTGGAGCCTATCACTGGGTCTGTGTCTTTATTTGCCTCTTTCCAGGTCCTATATGCTCTGAACTGCCAGGAAATCCTTTCTTCCACAACTTCTGCACCTTTTCTCTTTATCGCTGTATTATGAAAAAGTATTTCCTTAAGGTGAGTTATTTAGCTATTTCCTGAAGACTATGGTGTGCTCTGGGCAATTAATAGGAAAAAGAGAGAGCCCTGAATATGAGTAAGTGGGAAGACAGAAAGCTAAAAGACAGGGAAGATAGAAGAGAACCATGGGCAGCCCATCATCTAGGGGCACCAAGCTGATTAGCTAACACAGATGGCACCTGCAGCTCCTTGCCAAAAAGGAGACTTTGCAGAAGGCATTCTTCAAGGAAATGAACCTTTGAGGACCACCTCAGCCCTCTTCCCCAGTTCTCATTCCCAACCAAGTTAGACAACCTAGATTTCTCCAGAAGAAAGGTGGATTCATGTAGGCCAGAAGAAGAGAGCAAAGAGAGCTGTGAATCCCAAGAGAGATTTATGGGAAGACTTGACAAGGAAAGGATATGAAGGTTTATTTTGCTTTCCTGGGCTCATCTTAGTAGGAAATGGGAAAGATGAGATTGTGCAGTGAGAGCTAAACCCACAGAGCAGGGCTGGGCATAGGTGCCTGCTCCTAAGGCTCTCCAGAGGAATGTTTTCTCCTCCACAGAGGACCATGTGCCCAGGACAGAGCAGAGTGAATCAGCGCATCAAAGAAGGCACCAACATCATCATGAGCAGTGATGCCATGTCATCCAGCAGCTTTGGTCCCCAGCCAGCTCCCTCCCTGTCTCCCACGTCTCACTCCAGACCTGGCACAGAGGCAGCTGTGATCCCCACCTCCTTACCTGTGAGCACACAACCAAATCCTTCCGGCGCACAAGCCACAGAGGTGACAGCCAGTGGCCAGCAGCAAGGACATCTGCCCAACAGTGACATTGAGGATCTCCTCCTGAGGATAATGGACAGCGAGGTGCAGACTTCACTGCAGATAATGAAGTTGTTGATGTCCGTTGGGAATACAGTGAAGGAGGAGGAGTTGCAGAAGGCTGCCACGAGCCTGCTGGTGGCCCTGAACAACGCAAATGTGTCTTGGTCACCAACCAACTGATACAGCTCAACAGTGTGGTAAACACAGGGGAAAAGCCATCTCTTCCAAATGCCTGGGGAAACAGAGCCATGAGAAATGCTACTGCTCAGAATTCAAAGAAAAAGATTGCATCCTCTTGGAAGTAAATGTATTGAAAATATATCATTCTCTCCTGTAAAAACTGTTTGCTCACCATTAATAGTGTTTGTCAAGGGATGTCACGGGAGAATGATTGATGGCTTTTCTTCATTAAATGTAGGTGCTCCTGCTCAAAAGCATTAAGAGAAGAACCTTCTAGGAGGTCACTGAGCACTGTTGAAGTTAGATTTGCCTGTTTTGCTACCCAGCAGTCAACATGGCCCAATTCCCCAAGTGCTTTGGCTGCCATGGCAAGAATGCAGAAACTGCAGCCCTTGCTGGTAATGACCAATGCTCAACGCTTGAGTCACAGTGTTCGTCCAGTTCTAGTACACTGCGCTTAACCTTTTGGATAGCCGAATTATTAACTGTAGTCTGCCAATTTAAAATTTGTTTTTAGTTAGGAGAAAACAGGGACAGCTGCCTGATAATACATAGGCCTCCTATAAGATGAGAGGGGATCGCTGCCCAGGCCCTCTGCCCACAAATGAAAAGTGTTCCCTTTGGGAGTTTCAGGGGCACGTGACATTCGCTCAATGGAAGGTTGAGGTACGTGATGGCTTTTTGCACCAGCTTGCCACCTGAAACTCCTTCCGGTGAATTTTAACAGAAATGTAAGATTCAGGGTAGTAATTAGAGAGAACTCATATCAAAGTTTTTTCAGAAAACGAGGAAAGAAAGTCTGAGACCTCTGAGTCCTCTACTTCCTTAATCTTCCTCCGACTGGAGGTGATGGTGGCATCTGATAGATCACCAGTTTGTGCCAGGGTGTTAGTTTGGTGATGGCAATCTATCTCTTTTGGTGGAACATATGGCTTAAAATATTTATGGGGAACACACTTCGGACCCGAGAGTGTGGGTATGCTTGTGTACCCCTGCCCCCAAGTAGTAATTCATGTGGCCCCTGGGTCTGCTGCATCTCCAGATCTTTTATGAGCACGGGTGGCTTGTCATGGAATTCCAGCCTGTTCTTGTGGCTGGAAGTGTTGGATTACCCGTAGGTTGAGGGTTTGGGGACTTGAACTCCAGCTCTCATTTTCTGGCCTACATTTCACTTTAGCCATCTCCTCAGCATCAGAGGAGTACTATCTGATGGACAATCCTTTCAGTACCCAGTAGCTGCTGTTAAAACTTTCTTGGTGTTATCCCTGCTTCTGTCTGAATCTTTGTACCTTCCCCCCACCTTGGGACCCCACCTGTGCACAACAAGCTGCTCCTTAAAAAAATAAAAGAATATCACCAGAAGTGCAGGCCTTCCAACAGGAATTTTGGATTGACCACATTTATAAGGCCTCCATGGGGAAAAATATACTTTTGGTCTGGAATTAGGCAAGTACCACTGGAGCAGCACAGCTTTATGGCCTAGCTGGATTTTTCGTATGAGCCATCTTTCAGAGCTGTATAAATAAAGAACAGTGGATTCTAGTATATAAGTGGCCTACAGAACTACTGAGTCATGTCCACCCCCCACTATTATTATACATACCACCTCTCTATGGAAGTATGCTAATGCTTATGTTAGCTGGTCTAAATTTTCTACTGCCATTTATCAGGAAGTGAGTGCTAAGTTGGATTTGGGAGCAGGTCCAAATTTAGCCAAGGCAGTTTATTTTCCAAAGAAAATACTGTTGACAATGGAATCTGAGTTTACAGATTGGATCTTCTGAATGCACAGACACATTCAAAAGCTGCTTCCTAAAATATGGAGTAAATACACAAACTGGTCTCTACATACCATCCTAATGTAGCCCCTGTGTATTTATGCACATTAGAAAGTACTTTTACTGGTGCTTTTGAAAAAAAGGCTCAAGGTGAGGGATTTCAGCAGCTCAGAAGGTTTAATGTTGCATGGCACTGTCTGATTTTTTTTTTTTTTTTTTTAGGTTTATATTGGCCAATATTTATTGAATTTTATGGAAGAGCTGCATTTTGTTTACATTCTGGCTGGGATTTTCAGATCCCTTCACCAGACACCCACAAATACCTAACTACTTCTAAAAGTACAGGTTGTGCAAAAATAAGCAAGAGACAGCCTGTCAAAGCCATGTTAAAGGGAACAGAATGTTACTGAAACTCTGAGAGATCCAAGGAGCCGCATGACCCTGAAATTTTGGTGGCACTGAAGGGCTTTGCAGGATCTCCCCAGCCTTGGAAATTTAGCACAGGTTGTAGGAGATAGACCTGGCATGACCTAGAGAGGCTTCTGGAATCTCCAGGAGCAAGGAAAGAGAAGGAAACACAAGGCTAAAGCTGGGCTCAGACTCTTCCTTGCTGCACAAACCCAACTCACACAGAACAGCAAAGAGTCCATCCAACCTAAAAATCTCTCA